ATGCAAACGCGAATAAAGAGTTCACGGACAGTTCATTTCGGAGTTAATAAGACGGAAGCCCTGGTGAAAATCGATTACTATATTCCAAATTTGCGATCGAAGATTTAGGTCATCCGCAACTGCGTTGTTTGCATTTTGGCGAAGCGAAAACACGGGAAGCCAGAATGTTTATTAAACCCGATCGAGAAGGGCAGCGTGCCACTCGACACTTTTTATATTGACCATTTACGCCCGTTCGCGTCGACAAAAAAAGCTATGCTCACATTCTCGTAGTTGTGAATGCGTTCTCGAAAGTTACGTGGCTTTTTACGTGGTAAAGTCTACAGGTTCGGCTGAGGCGATTAAGCGTTTGAAAAAGCAGTCGTTTATTTTTAGAAATCCTAAAAGAATTATATCCGACAGAGGCTACGGATTTACGCCGGAAGAGTTCGAGGAGTACTGCCGGTTCGAGACTTGTAATCATATTTTGACTATCACGGGAGTTCCGCGATCTAACTATCAAGTCGAGCGAATGAGTCGCGTTTTAATACCGCTATTGACCAAATTAGTAGCGTCGACGCATTGCGAGTGATATAAATATTTAAACACTGCGCAATCATATTTGAATACTATATTACACCGAAGCATATGGATGACTCCTTTTCGCGTCTTACTCGGAGTGAATCCGCGAATTTGCGATAATCCTGACGTTCGGGAAATTCTCGAAAGCAAATTGTTACCTTCTTTTGACAAGAGCAGAGATGAATTGCGACTGCAAGATCTGCTAAAGATAATATTAAAAATTTTAAGACAAAATTATAATAAAAAAAGAAAAAAAGCTTTTTGCTATCGCGAGGGAGACCTTGTGGTTATCAAGCGCACGCAGCAAGGTCCTGGGCTTAAACTGGCTCATAAATATCTCGGGCCTTACGAAGTGACTAAAGCGTTGCGTAATGATCGTTATATTTTGCGCAAAGTCGACAAGCATGAAGGTCCGTATCAATCGTCGTTTGCCGCTAATGTTGTGACCCCGTGAATTGACGAGGATAGCGATAGAGAAAGTTTAGATGAGAGCGACAATGACAGCAGAGATCCCGAAACGAATGCACGATCAGGACGGTCGAGTACAAGGAAACATTGTTACGAACGGCGAAAAGTGAATCTTTTTTATATGTATTATTTTCTTATATTTTTTCAGATTTAACGACTGATAATTTCACGACAAAACTGTATGCTTGCACGATTGTCAAAGTGACAAACGTTTACGATTGTCACCTATACGATACCTGGTGATTGCCAGTTGACCACTCAACTAACAATTTTGAATATAAGAAAACACACAAATATTTTCGAAAACCAAGGTAACGAGCGAAAGATTTTCAAGACTCAAGAGAGAAAGTCCGTCGATAAGAATAGAGCGAGAGATATGAAAGATAGCGCGATAAATTGTTAAAACCGTTCTTCGAG